GCTTTTTTCTTTTTGCTTATGTGGTGCTGAGGAAGCAAACCCAGGGTCTCATGCATGCAAGGCAAGTGCTCTACCACTGAGCCACCTTCCCAGTCCCGCAAAAGTACTTTTTAATGTTTAATCCTGAGTAGAACATGGAACCTCTATGTTAAATACCATTAATCTGAAGAGGAAATTTTAGTGATATATTGCAAAACCAACTTTTGATCTCTTTAAAATTAAATTCCTTTGATTTATAAATTACAAAGAGCTATAAAATGGTGATTATTTAACAAAAGGTACAAAGCTAAAATGCTCAGAAAATCTGGTATATGCATAGAGCACAATTTTTTTAAACAACAAACAGGGACAAAAAAGTGTTAAATTGGGGGGAGGGCAATCAACTTTTAAAACTTAAAAGACTATTAAATTCCCAGTTTCTATTTTCATAGCAGAACTGAAGATCTAGGGTTAAAGGAATAATAGTTGTACATCAAGTGACAATCCAAACATTCCAGATATCATTACATACTTGTATATAGTTAATAGCCTGCCATCCCTGATTCTCAGTCCATTTTACATTGTGTTGTATCCTATTTCTTTTCTGCTCTCACTTCCTCACTCTTCCCTGTAAGGGGTCTTCTTCCTCGTTTTATGCATTACTAAATATAACACAGGTTTTTATTGTTTCTTTTGTCTGATTTTGGTTTCCTTCCTCTTGCTTTTATAATGCAATAGTTGTATATTGCACAGTTGGGAGAACTCCTTGAACATGAAAGTCTACATATAAAGCCTTTTTTTCTACTGAGTGTTTTTCTTTAGAATTATTTATCATATTACAGCAGTATAGGAGGTATTAAAAAAAATTTTGGGGTCTGAAAATATGGCTCAGTGGTAGAGTGCTTGCCTAGCATGCATGAAGCTCTGGATTTGATTCCTCAGCACCACATACATAGAAAAAGCCAGAAGTAGTGCTGTGGCTCAACTCGAAGAGTGCTTTCCTTGAGCAAAAGAAGCTCAAGGACAGAACCCAGGCCCTGAGTGCAAGCCCCAGGACTAGAAAAAAAATTTTTTTTGGAAGGGATAAAGTTCCTGAAACATAACTGGAAATAACTAAGATTTATTGAATAATTGAGAAAAATAATGGGGTTTTAGTAATGAATGAGTAATTGGGATATGTTAATTTTGGAATCAAAATGCCTGATTTCTTCATGGTTTGCAGGAATATTTCTCATTCTCATTTCTTCTGCCTCTAACCTAATTGGTCATACAAAACTACATTACTTTTTGCCTTAAAAATCTACTCAGTAATTGCAACAAAACAAATCTATTTCTTCTTTAGTTTTCAAACTAGTGAACTTAAATAGTACAGAGGTGAATTTATTAAAAATTTCTCATCCCCTTAACATTAGTATTTAGTAGATCCTAATCAGGCCATTTAAAAACTTTTAAAGAATGTTTCAGGTAGTTTTGATATATATCAATTGGTAGATGGAAAAGAATACTGCTCTACAGGATAAAGTCCAGCTTTTCATTATGATTTATAATTTTACTTCTCCCCATCTCTCTAAACTCCTTTTCCCAGAGTTTATATCACCTTCAGAAACACTAAGCCACTTGGAGTTCTCAACATGTGCCTTATTTTCTCATACTTTTATACACTTGCACACACTGCTTGCCCCATGTAAAATATCCTTGTCCTCTCTCCTCACCCTTCCCATCTCTACTGAAACATCATCCTTTCTCCTTTACAGATTGAATTAAACAACACTCATTTACCATAAAATCTGTTATGATGCTTGAAGGCCTACAGAAAGAACTTTGCTAATCACTGTTTCATTGGTTTCCTACTTAACACAGCATTTCATCATTATTGGTTTCCTTTCTAGATCATATAGAATGCAACAACAGAGGCCATTGTGTGCATCTGTTCCTCTCATAGCTGGCACATAGAAGACATACCATAAATGTTTAATGAAAAGGAAGATTTTCATGTCTTTTTGGAACATTGAGCACACTAGAGAAATCTCTAGGAGTAACTCTGCTGTCTGTATTTTGAGAATTTTCATGTGGTTTTAAGTATAAGACACTTGTAAAAAGCAATTTTCATTAAAAGGGCAAAAAGAGCTGTTGTTATAAGGCATCTTACTATATGCCATGAGTTTTTCTGTACTTTTGTAAATTGGTTTTCCTCCTAGGAATTCCATTTCCTAATATTAAGTTATAGTTAATATTATATATAATTATATATATTTATTATAATTATATATTATATTATTATATGTTATAGTTAACATATATTAACGTAATATAATAAATATAACATCATATTTATTATATTTATGTTTATATAGTGGTCAGTTTAAAAAACTTACAGCCACCCTGTCCTCTGATTAAAGTACTATTCTGGCCATTTCTCCTCTTCACTTCCATATTTAAGAAACTAATGGTCTGCACAGTAGGGGTGAGGGAATACAAGGCCCCATAATGTTGGCTTTCCAGGCTTTACATGAATAGGATCCTACTTTGATCATTAACTTTAGGGTCTTACTCTCCCTTCTTGTTTTATTTGTCTTGGTCTCATGATGTTGTCTCAAACACATCTTCCTTCTTTGCTCTTTTTATCTGTTCTTCCAGGAAATGTTTAAACAAATTCTTAAGCCTAATCTAAGGTCGACCTTATTGATGGAGAAACATTATCCCCTTCACAAACAGAGTAGTAAATATCTCCTGAAAGGAAGATTCATAAGTGAAAACTTAGCTGTACCAGTTTCAGTCTATAATAACAGTAACTGAGCTCAATTATTTTTATTGGTAAGATAAAATCAGCCAACATAACAGCAATAGGAGATCACACAGCCATTATTTTCGATTCTACTTCATGAATAAAATAAATGTAATTTAATTTAAAATATTGGTTAAATCATTATTAGGTGTATTCTGTTATTTTTCTGTAATAAGCATGATTTTGAAATACTACTCAGGTGATTAAATTTAGCCTTTTCATTACCTGAGTCTGTATTTCCTCATAGTTTTTCTAATTGGATGTTTAATCCAGCCTTTAAAAAAATAATCTACCTCCCCCACCCAGTATCATTTCCCTCTCAGTTGTTGAAACCAGAAATTTAGAAATTATCTTTTATTTTTCCATACATCACCCTTTCCTACTCCAGATCAGTTCTTTTGACTTTGCTCATTACTTTTCTAAGTATTTTTAGTTTGACTACATTACTTCATTTAATCTCACAGAAGTACAGTATTTTACAATAGTTAAAAGCATGGGGCTGACTACATTTGAATTCTAGCTATGTAGGAGGGCTTTAGGGAAACTGTACCTATTTTGTTTGTTTTGACTGTATATATGAGTAATTTTATCTTAAATTTTATATGATTATTCCAAGGATTTTGTGAACTAATAAATATAAAATGAGTAAATAGCAAACACTAGGAATTGTGCATAATCCATATTTACATGTTCATTGTTCATCTCTAACTAGTAGTTGAGGTCTTACAAACTTCTCTTCCATACCATCGCAGCAGCCTACTGGCTTTCATTCTGCGTTTCCCCCGCCCCCCACCCCCAATAGCAGTTATCCTGCTTACAAGATACTGCTTATAATTAGAATAAAACAAGGAGGATTTTACTCTAAGTATAGGTATCCTAGTAGTTTACTAAACTTAAAAGGCCATAGGTGCTCTGAGCACATTCTTGCTTCTTACCTAGAATCATGTCTGACATGTAGAAGTTACTTAGTAAATATTTGTTGAGTGAATGAATAAAAAATTTTACTTTTTATTTTACCTTTCTCAAATTCATCTCTTTATCTGGTGGCCACTAAAAGCACCTCTTTGGTAGGCAGTTTGAAATCTAGGATACAACTTAAATCATACACATTTGGCTTCAAATTCTCACACTCATTTACATGTGAGCCTTGGGGAAAGTTACCAAGGAGTAACCATATTTCAGAATGTAACTGAAGTTTATTAGGAGTAACTGGGGGTGGGGGGGAAGGAGAGGGGGTTACATAAGAGTAACTGAAAATCAGAGTATCTGAATTATTCTTCGCCTAATTTTCTTTATGTGCAAATTAGAGAGTTTGTGTAAAATTATATAAAGAGTTTCTTATAAAATGCCTAGTCCTGAAGACTTAACGAAGTTCTTCTAGTACCATTTGGTCCTTTATTACTTATGTTGTTGTTGTTGTTGTTGTGTGTGCGTGTGTGTGTGTGTGTGTGAGAGAGAGAGAGAGAGAGACTAAGTGAGAAAGTGAATGAGTTGGCCTTAATCAAGCTCTTAGGTACCTTTTTAAAAGTTTGTATCTAGGCCTGAGTGGCTTGCACCTGTAATCCCAGCTCCTCAAATGGGTAAGATCTGAGGATTGAGATTCAAAGCCAACCCAGCTGACAACAAATTGGAGACACTTATCTCCAGTTAATTTACCCAGAAGTGGTGGTGTGGCTTAAATAGCACCAGCCTGGGGGGGAGGGAGCGGGGGGGGGGAAGTGGGGGTAGGGGAAGACGAAGAAGGGAAGGCCAAGGAACAGCTTAGAGCCCTGAGTTCAAGCCCCAGGACTGGCATGTATACACACACACACACAAAATTTTACCTTTTATATATGTGTAATACCACACAGTTCTTAAAAATTTTTTTGCAAAGTAATAAACTAAAAATAAAATAATTAAAATTATGTAATTCAGAATTGTCTATTGAAGATTGACTTTTAAGAGTTGCCGCATATGAGGCTGGGAAGGTGGCTCGGTGGTAGAGCGCTTGCCTTGCATGCATGAGGCATGGGTTCAATTCCTCAGCACCACATAAGCAGAAAAATAGTACTGTGGCTCAAGTGGTAGAGTGCTAGCCTTAAGCTGAAGAGCTGAGGGACAGAGCCCAGGCCCAGAGTTCAAGCTGCACAATAGACCAAAAAAAAAAGTTGCCGCATATATCAGAGCATATACTACATAATTTTCCAAATTAACTTTGTAACTAATAATTCAACATAAATGCTTTTTTTTTTTTCAGATGGAGCAACTATCAGATGAAGAAATTGATCATGGTGCTGAAGAAGATAGTGATAAGGAAGATCAAGACCTGGACAAAATGTTTGGAGCATGGCTTGGGGAGCTAGACAAACTAACTCAGGTTAGAAGTGGTACTTGAAACATTGGTTGAGGATTTGAAGTCATCACTGCATTTAAACAATTTCATTTGCACAAGTAAGGATATGCATGTAGGCTAAGTTTAAAAATACTGCTAAGGGCTGGGAAGGTGGCTCAGTGGTAGAGCGCTTGCCTTGCATGCATGAGGCCCTGGGTTCGATTCCTCAGCACCACATAAGCAAAAAGAAAAAAGCCAGAAGTGGCACTGTAGCTCAAGTGGTAGAGCGCTAGCCTTGAGCTGAAGAGCTGAGGGACAGCGCCCAGGCCCAGAGTTCAGGCCCCACGACTAGACACTCCCCCCCCCAAAAAAAATACTGCTAAGCTAGAAACATGACCAAAACACTAAAGATTAAATGCATAATAACTGTAACAGTAGATAGTATCTTCTATGGTTATTCTAAAGACTTTATTATCATGTATTGTACAAAGCAATGGGTTTCATTGTGCATGCGTATAATATATTTTGATCATAGCCATTCATTATTCATTTTTGTTTCCCTTTTTCCTCTTACCTGCTCTTGCTTGTTTCCTTTCTCTTCCTAAACAGTTGCCCTTCTACTTTCATGTCTTTCAAAGAAAAAAAGTTAGATTTCACGAGAGAAAATATGTAATATTTCTCTGAGTTTGGCTTATTTTGCTTAACATGATGATCTCTAGTTCCTTTTATCATGTAAATATATCTTAGATTTAAACCTGTGTAGTGTGACAGTGCTATTATACTGCTTTTCAGTATTTTGGAAATTTTTAAGAAATACATGACTGATCTAAATGGCTAGAAATTCAAATGTCATGTTTGTTTCATTACTTTAGTTCCTACATGGTGTTACTTGGCACATTAAAGTTAATGGTGCTTTCAACTTTATATTTGATCAAATTTAGGTTATAATCCTCGTTGTTTTACGTATAATCCTAGAGTTATTTTATAGAACAGGTTAGATGCTTTCTATTCTCCAATTCTACTGTGAGGAAAATTAGACTTAAGTTGCTGCAGTAGAGTTAGGATTGAGGTTAAAGGAAAGTTTCTTGACTGTTCTGTGAAACTTTGAAATAGGGCACTAAAGAGATTGTGGATGTTCATTTGGAAACTTTAAAATTAGGACAGATACACTATATTAATCTTATTTTGAAATAAATGAATAGAAAAGATATCATTCTAATCTAATGCCATGGTTCTACAAATAGAATATTTAACATTCTTTTAAAATTGAAATTTATTCAAATAATAATGCTTAGTAATATTAAACTATACTTAATTTGGATAGAAATCAAAGTTTTAAAAGAACAATTGTAAGCTTAGCAAATTTTTTGTAGCATTTTTTTTCCAGGACTGAGGACCACCAAACCCAGGGCCTTGCGCACGCTGGGCAGGCGACCTTCTGCTGGGCTAAACCCCCAGCCCCAAGCTTAGCTAATTTATTTACACAATGACGTGAATTTCTTTTCCTTGTTTTCTTGAATTTCTCTGTTGTACCTTTATTTTTTATTGTATGGGGGGAAAGGTATCATTTACGAGAATGGTAAGGACTGGAAACATTTAGATCAGTTAGTGTGTGCTTGCTGTGCACAAGGCCATTGATTAAATCTTCAGCATCACAAAAATAAACAAGTAAAAGTTTTAATTAAATAGAAGATGGTAGATAACTTGTAAGTCACTTATACCTGAATGTAGGTCTAATTAATTTTGTCACAGATAATACAGTAGGGTTATGGTTTGCCTCCATCCTGAGATCTTGATAGGACTATTCTATTACTTTTTTACTTTTTTTTGACAGTCCTGGGGCCTGGGCACTGTCATTGTCCCTGAGCTTGTTTTAGCTCAAGGATAGCACTCTTATCACTTGAGCCATAGTGCCACTTTCAGACTTTTCTGTTTATGTGGTACTGAAGAATGGAACCCAGGGCTTCATGAATGCTAGGCAAGTACTCTACCACTGAGCCACATTCCAAGCCCTCTATTACTTTTTGAAATGGTGATTGTTCTCTTTGCTAAGGTTTTAGGTCTCTAACTTTTAGCCCAGGACTGTCCCTTATCTTCAGGTTACTTTATGCCAGTGAATGAGATTATGCTGGAACAAAACCATATCCCCCAAGGAAGGAGTTATCAGAACTCTGAATGTTTCTTTTCCATTTATCATACCTATATTCATGTTTCTAGTTTATTTGATAGCAGAATTATGTGAGAAGAGAGGTCAGTCGCTAGGATGTATTGGAAAAACAAAAAACTTAACTCCAAGAGCTAGAGTTGTGGTTCAAGTGGTATACCACCTGCAAACCAAGAAGGAAGCCTCAAGTTCAAATCAGTAATACCAGAGAGAGAGAGAGAAGAGAGAGAGGGAGGAAGAGGGAGAGAGAGAGAGAGAGCACGCGAGCGACCACGTACACACACACATGAGCCGGGTGCTGGTGGCTGACACCTGTAATCCTAGCTACTCAGGAGGCTGAGAGCTGAGGATCATGGTTCAAAGCCAGCCCAGGCAGGAAAGTTTGTGAGACTCTTATCTCCAATAAACCACTCAGAAAAAGCTGGAAGTGGTAGCTGGAAGTGGTGCTGTGGCTCCTTTAGTTCAAGCTCCAGGACCAGGAAAATTTTTTTAAAAAGATAGAGGAAGAAGAAGAAAAGATATTTATTCTGAACTGTAACAGACAATGTCAAGCCTCAGGTTCTAAAGCATATACCTAAAAATTGAAATAAATGAAAATAATGTGAAAACCAATTATGCTTTCCCTTAAGATTTTCGATTTGATTATTATATTGGCAGTTCACTTAATCATAGGGCAAACTTCATCCTTTTTGTATAAAGACTTGACTTGAATATAACTTTTGAATCTTTTTTTTTTTTTTAAGAGTTTAGATTCTGACAAGCCTGCAGAACCAGTAAAAAGGTCTCCTCTTCGCCAGGAAACAAACATGGCCAATTTTTCTTACCGATTCTCCATATACAACTTGAATGGTAAGATGTAATTAGTGTAATGTATAAGGTAAATAATGATAAGTATATATTAATGTAGGAATAATGTAGCTGCAGTTTCAAATACAAGACTCAATATAAAAACAACATGCAGGCTGAGCGCCCGTGGCTCACACCTGTAATCCTAGCTACTCAGGCCGCTGAGATCTGAGGATCGCCATTGAAAGCCAGCCTGGAAAACTCTTATTTCCACCAGAAAGCCAGAAGTGGCTTAAGTAGTAGAGTGCTTGCCTTGAGCTGATGAGTTCAGGAACAGCATGCAAGCCCAGAGTTCAAGCCCTATGACCAACAAAAAAAAAAAGCTTATACATATAACTTAGTACTTTTTTTGATTTGTGCATAATACTAAGTAGATTATCTTAGAAAAGAGCAACTGAAAAGTATTTTCCTTATTAGTAAGTGACAAAGTACATACATAGGAGGAACCTCACAGAAAATTTAGTAATTTCATTGTTGTTCTGTCACTGGATTAAAATCCAAGGAATTTATTATTTCTTTTGTGTGTGTGGTCCTAGGGTTTGAACTGCCACTTGTATTCACCCAGCTCTCTTTTCCTTTTTTGATTTTTTTATGCAGGGTCTTGTGGCTTGTTGTCTGTGTATGTCTATTGCCCATGGCGTGGCTCACTTGTGGCCCCCTGCAGAGCTGGGATTATAGACATACAATCTTGAAGTCTTGCTAAACCCTCTCCTGTTCCAACCCAGGCTACTTGTCTATGGTCCTTTTAATCACCTCTACAGTAGCCAGGATTAGAGCTGTAAACCACATGGTTGTTACTAATTTTAATAACATTTCTCATTATTTAGTGTACTCTACCTAAGCAACTCTATTGTTTAGAATTGACATTTTAAACTTTACTTTTATTGGACTTTCCATTTATTTTTTCATGCCTTCAGCTGTTTTGATAACATCTTTGTTGGATACTGACTATATTAATAGCTTATTACAAACTGTGGTTTAAAAGTTACATGAAGAGTTGGAGTTGTGGCTCAGTTGGTAGAGTGCTAGCCAGTGAGCAAAAGTGGCAGGTGCTGAGTTCAATCCCCTGTCTCAGACCTAAAAAAAAGAAAAAAGAAAAAGTTAATGAGGGATGTGGCTAAAGCTATTAAATAATGTTTTGCACTATTTTGTTTGAATGCATACCTTTGTTCTTTTTTTTTTCTTTTTCCTTTTTCTTTTTCTCTCTTTTTTTTTTTTTTGATGGTCATGGGGCTTGAACCATGATTCTCTCAGCTTCCTTGAACTCTGGGCCTGGGTGCTGTCCCTCAGCTCTTCAGCTCAAGACAAGCGCTCTACCACTTGAGCCACAGTGCTACTTCCAGTTTTCTGAATGGTTTATTGGAGATAAGAGTTGCACAGACTTTCATGCCTGGGCTGGCTTTGAACTATGATCCTCAGATCTCAGACTTATGCATACATAGCTAGGATTACGGGTGTGAGCCACTGGGCACCCGGCCCCATACCTTTATTCTTAATTATTAGGGATTGTAAAAGTGCTTCTGAAAATTATCTGGGAATTAAAAAGAAAACCTATTTAATACTTCCATTTGACTGACTATATTCCCAATGGAATGCATTCTTTTGCATCCCCTACCATTTCCATATTTAACTGATTTAGAATAGAATGTATGAATTCTGATTGGTTCTGGAAACTTGTGTGTTGTTTTGCAGAAGCTCTGAATCAGGGAGAAACGGTGGATCTGGATGCCCTGATGGCTGATCTTTGCTCTATAGAGCAGGAGCTAAGCAGTATTGGTTCAGGAAGTAGTAAGCGTCAAGTCACAGAACTGAAAAGTACTCAGAAATTACCTGCCAGCCGACATACCTCCAAACACGGCACATTGAAAGGATTATCTTCTTCATCTAATAGGATACCTAAGCCTTCCCATGCTAACTACTCCCTGGATGACATCACTGCACAATTAGAACAGGCTTCCTTGAGCATGGATGAGGCTGCTCAGCAATCGGTACTAGAAGATCCTAAGCCTTTAGGAACTAATCAGCACAGAAGAACTGCCTCAGCAGGCACAGTGAGCGATGCTGAAGTCCGCTCTATTAGTAACTCCTCTCGTTCTAGCATGACTTCTGCAGCCTCCAGCATGGATTCTTTAGATATTGACAAAGTAACACGCCCTCAAGAACTAGATTTGACCTATCAGGGACAGCCAATTACTGAGGTAAATATATTTTTCTCCTAGCATTTTAGTATTAAAATAAAGGGTAAATGATTTTTAAAGTGTAGCTTGAATTAACTTTCTTAATTCTCCTATATTGAAAGTTTGTAAAAAATCTCAGTGGGGTACAGTTGTACTTTATAATCCCTGCTTAGTAAGAGGCTGAGATAGGAGGATCAAAGAATGAGGCTTTATCTGGAAAAAAAAAGCTAATACTAGACGAAATATATTGCTCAAAGTAAACATTACGGAAATGATTTAGAAATTTTTATTCTTTTGATTTTGGAAGCCCTTGAATTAATGTCATTTATTTCATGATTAAAAACTTGAAGCCAAGAGGGTAAACCAAAGGAGGAGGCTGCAATGCTTGGTAAGAAATGTACACATTATCCTGCCCATGTAATTGTAACCCCTCTGTACAGTATGTTCACAAATAAAATTAAATTTAAAAAAAAACAAAAACAAACTTGAAGCCAAGAATGGTAGTTCAAGCCAATAATTCCAGGTACTCAGGAGACTAAAAGGAGGACCAGAAGATTGAAGCTAGATCTGGCAAATATCAAGACTCAATAAAATCCCAGTACTGGGGAAAAAAAATTGAAATGTGATTTGCAAAGCCATTAATAGTTATCAGCCTTTGTTTTTTTTGGTCCAGTCATGGGGCCTGAACTCTGGGCCTGGGCACTGTCCCTCAGCTCTTCAGCTCAAGGCTAGCTCTACCACTTGAGCCACAGTGCCAATTCTGGCTTTTTTCTTTTTGCTTATGTGGTGCTGAGGAATCCAACCCAGGGCCTAAGGCATGCAAGGCAAGCGCTTTATCACTGAGCCACCTTCCTAGCCCTGGTTTTGTTTGAGGGAGGAGTGCCAGTACTGGGGGGCTTATGCTCAAGGCCTTGAACTCTTACTTGGATTTTTACACTCTAGATAGATGCTGTACCACTTGAGCCACACCTCTACTTCCAACTTTTTTTTTTTTTTTTGCTAGTTAATTGGAGATATGAGGCTCATGGACTTTTCTAGTCTTAACTTCAAACCTCAGTCCTCAGATCTTAGCCTCTTGGGTAGCTAGGATTACAGGTATGAACCTTTAGTGCCTGGCATCAGATTGCTTTTTAGTGTGTTTCAAAATAACATAAGAAACCCACTTACAGTTTTCAAAATCTGCTCCATTTTATTCAAGTCAGTATGAGGTAATAAGAAAGAGCTACTGAGCTCAGAAAACTTGGAATCTAGTTATATCTTGCTATATTAATGAGACTTAAGAAAGAATTCATCCTCTCTTAACATCAGTTTCTCATAAGAAAAAATGAAATTAGTTCTACTTGGTCTACCATCCTCATAGAAATTGAGAATCAAAAGTGATAGATATGAACAAATCTTTTATGTAAGATTAACTGAAGCTGGATTTTGTTGGTGAAAGGATTCTTGGTGAAAGAATTCTTTTAATCTAAAGATGGCATTTGGGTTTTAGCATAGTAGCAAGAAAGAAGAAAATCAGTGGGGCTAAATAAAATCAGCCTTTTGTTTGTGTAATACAGAGTAAGAGAATGTTTATGTATAATCAATACAAATGTAAAACCCTGTGGAACACTGTTTAAGGAACTAGAGAAATTTGAATTTTTTATACTGTTGACATTTTTCTTTCCAATTTATTTACATTAATCTAAACTTGGCATTCAATAGTGTGCCTAATTTTTGTTTTAGGTAATATGAAACAAACATGAATCATCAAGGTAGTTTAGAAATAAACTTGAGTTTTATTGCAAAGAAAATTAGCAAATTATATCAGTCTAAATAGTAAAGTTTAATTAGCTTAAAATAAATATGATCTACCTGTTATATGTTTTGCCATATCTTTTCCATCTCAATTAATGGCTACTCTATCTTCAAGTTCATCAAGCAAATGTCCTGGGGTCTAACAATTTTTTATCCATCTCTCTTCCAGGGTGTTAGAAAATTCTCTTGGCTTTACCTTCAGAAATAGCCAGGATCTTGATCATTTCTCAAGATCTTCACTACCAAGTCAACATCATCTTGATCTAGTTCTTTATAATAGTTTTCTAGCTTGTCTTTCTACATTGCAGTCATAGTGATCTGCTTAAAAGTAAGCCAGATCATCTCTTTTCAGACTTAAAGGCATTGTATCTTACTCAGAGTAAAGCCAAAATTCCTAAAGTGGTTTACGTGGCCTTACCTGATCTGCTTTCCCTGATCTATTTATCCCATTTTTTCTTCCTTCCCTTGCTCTGCATACAGCATTGTCTCCTACTTGTCCTTGCCGGCTATCAGTGACTGCTATAGAGCCCTTGTATTTGTTTCCCTGCCTAGGTGCCCTTTCCCAGTTATCTAAGGATATAATCCTTTCCACCTTCAGGGATTTGTTTAAATGTCACTTTCTCAGTAAGGTCTTCTTTTATGGTGGTATTTAAAAATCAAGCTCTTCTAAATGCCCTGTGACTACAAGTTATTTCCCTTTTCCACTTAATTTTGCCCTTCAGTGCCAACTACTAAACATGCTATGCATTTTTATTTTGTTTATCTCTTCCCAAGTGACTATAAACTTCATGAGGAGAGGATTTTCATTGTTTTGATTTCTTTCGGTTTCCTTAATGCCTAAAACAGTATTTGGCTCATAGAAGCATGATATTTGAGCAAATGTAAGCACATATTTAGTCGACAGTCCTTTTTTTAAATTCTTCAGTAGTTGTACAAAGGGGTTACCATTCAATATGTCAGTTGATAAGTAAAATGCATCTTAATTGATACTACCCTGTTCATCTTTTTCTCCATCCCTTCCAACCCTACCACTCCCATCAATTCAACTCTGCTTCATTATTAGTATTAAAGAAATTCCTAATGCATCCTCTTCAGATAATCTCCAATTGTTTATTAATTTGTCCGTATTTAAGATTTTGTTCAAAGGTGAGTTATCCTAATCTTCACAATTTGTCATTTTACATGGTGAGTTAGCATATTGACTGCTGGTACATGAACACAAGTTTTCAATTTTCAGTGTGCTTACTTGAAAAAAATGCATCATAAATTAGCTGAAACTTAATGCACTTTTTTTTCTAGTTTTAACCAAATGCTTTGGAGGTATCTGGGTTTTTTCTGTTGTTATTATAAAGATGATGGGTTCCAGTTACGTAAGTCAGGTAATGAGTATTTTTCTTTTGAACATTGTAACCCCTTCCCTCCTCTTCTATTTTTCCCTCCCAGCCTCCTCACAGGTTGGTTGTATAGTTCATTTTCAAAATAGTATCCCTTGAGTATTACTGCTGCATTTGTTCACCCTTTGTTCTACCATTTTTGTCCTCCCACCTTACCCTCTCAAAAACAGATACACTTACATATGAGACAGAAGATAAGAAAGCAAAAACAGTGACAGAGGAAGAAAAAAATAACAAAGAAAACCTCTTGTTTCCATTTCTTGGGAGTTCATTTTGATAAATATCATTTTATATGATCATATGCACATAGCTGTTGAGCCTTTGTGATCCTCTCAAGAATATTCTCCTTTTAGCAGGGCGCTGGTGGCTCACGCCTGTAATCCTAGCTACTCAGGAGGCTGAGATCTGAGGATCACGGTTCAAATCCAGCCCCGGCAGGAAAGTCCATGAGACTCTTAGCTCCAGTTAACCACTAGAAAATCGAAAGTGGCACTGTGGCTCAAGCGGTAGAGCACTCGCCTTGAGCTGAAGAGCTGAGGTACAGCGCCCAAGCCCAGAGTTCAAGCCCCACAACTGACCAAAAAAAAAAGAATATTCTCCTTTGGTCTCACTGTGTGAATGTCTATAGTCCTGTAAAATTTATCATATCCAAGTGTATTTTTTGCCTTTTACCACCCAGTGTATTTACTTGTTGATTTATAGCCTCATTCTAGTTACAACAAATGAGGGAAACCAGGCAACCTATGTTTCTTTGGGTCTGGCTTACTTCACTTACTATAATTTTTTCTAAATCTTTCCATTTCCTTGCAAATGGTACAATGTCAGTCCATTGTCTTAATCTAAATGTCTGTACTCTGAAATAAACATCAGTTGTTTTCCTTCAAAATGGCCAATGGAGTGCCACAGTGAAGAAACATGAAAACTCCTGTAATAATGATACAAATACAAGTAGAAAGAATCAATTCAAAGCAATATTGCGCTTTCTTTTTTCTATCTCCTTTCTAAAAGCCCCAAGGATAAGCACAGTATAGTATAATTCCACATCACAAAGAGTGTATTTTTTTTCCTCTGACTTTTTCTTCCTTGGATTTTTGTCAAAATACTGTATTTGCAAGTACTTTATTTATGTTACCTAGTTTATGCCTCATATTAGCCCTTTGGTAAGTGCATTATTCCAACCACACCAAGGCTGAAGAAATTAAATAATTGAGAATTTGACCTCCAAAGTCATAATGTCTTCCTTACATTCTTAAAATCTTAAAGTGTGATTGATAGTTAAAATGAGTATTTCCTGGGTGTTTAAGAATATTTTCTTATTAAAAATATTCCATGGATGTATATAACAATGACTTATAATTACAGTTAATATTCTGTCAAAATCCTTCAATAATTATCACTATTAAGTTGTTTAAAGAGGTTTCAATGCCAGAATTCAGGTTATAAATACAATGCATCTTGACCAATGTCACTCCTCCCATTTCCATCTTTTCTCAGGCCATCCCTACACTCAAGTTACTATGGCTTATTATTTATTTATTAATAAGTGTTGGTCCTGGGGCTTGAACTCGGGGCCTGGGCACTGTCCCTAAGCTTTTTTTTCTCAAGGCTAGTATTATATCACCAGTAAGACAACAGCTTGGAAATTTAAGTGGTAATTGTATGTTATAAATTGTTTAAGAAATAGGGCTTAAGAAATAAAAAACAAATCTAAAATATACCTTTAATGTTTTCTTCTGGTGAGATTTAACCATTAGCAGGTCTTTTGAATTTAGAATTTTGTATATAAAAGTGTATTTTTTAAATAATACTTTTAAGCTATTACTATACTTCATAGCAGATTCAATTGGCTTTTCTAAATCTTAAGAAAATTTGAAACTGGGTGTTACGTGCTTGTAATCTCAGCTACTCATAAGGTTGATCAGAGCCAGCCTGGGCAGACAAACCTGTGAGGCTCTTATCTCCAATTAACCAGCAAAAAGCTTGGCAGGAGGAATGGCTCAAATGGTAGATTACTGACTGAGCAAGAGTACAATGACCTGAGTTCTAGTCATAAGGTCAGGCAAAAAAAGGTTGATTAATGAAAATTGTCTGGTATGTGAGTTATTAACTTTCAAATTTTAGGAATTTTTCTCATGTGAAAGGCTTTTCAATGAAACTTTGTTTTGACAATATTGGAGCTTGAACTTAATGCCTTGTGCTTGTTAGGCAAGCCCTTTACCAGTTGAGCCACACCTACAGCCCTCACTGACTCATTTATTCATAATATATATGACATATTATGTCAGTAGCCCACACCAAAAAAAAAAATGTCTCCTGAGTAACTAGGATTATAGGCATGAGTCACTGCTTCCTAACCCCCAGCCCTCTTTTGCTTTAGTTATTTTTCTCACATTTTTTTCTGGAGCTATCCTTGAATCATGATTTTCCTACTTGTTCCTCCTGTTATAGAAATGAATTACCTCTGGTTTGTTGTTGAGATGGGGTCTAGATAACTTGTTGCACAGTCTAGCATATGCTAACTTCAATGCAATTTTTCTACTTCTTCCAAGTTCTAGAACTATTTCAAGAAATTTGTTCAGACAGTTTGAAACACTGGGGAAAATACAGTAATTGTGTTTATAGCATGTGGGATGTGACCCCACTGCCAGCAAAATCCCAAATTATTCTTAGCAAACCTAACCTCTTACCTCTAAAGAATTAAATGGTTAGTAGAGAGCACAGAACTTTCTGAAATCTTTAAGTCCTACATAAACTGTTGAAGGAATGGAGTTACAGTTGATTTTTCACTTATTGAAATTAACTTTCTTATTCCAGTGGCCTTTATTTTATACTGAAATTTATTATGTGTACTGTTTTATTCCAGATCTCACTGGCTTAATGATGTTTAGTAGCAGCAGGAAATAGCTATCAGGTGAAAGAGAGGCTGATGGTCTGGTGAAAGCTTGGTGCAATGTCTAGTTCACATAAATTATTTCTCAACTAACCCCAATCTCCATGTCAACACTGTCATTATTACCTTGCTTCACAATGGAAGGAACTGGGGCAAAGAGCAACTCTATAACCTGCCCAAGGATTTGAACCAAACCTTACCATACTACTTTCATCACAGAACTGAAGATTCCCTTCAACACCAACAGTAGACTGGCCAGTGTCCACAAAGCTCAACCTAGAAATTCAAAAGGAGACATGGGCAGGAGAAAAACAAGTAAAGAGATCCATGTAGTAACACCCCCATCTTGTGGCATTGTGGTATATATTGTTTAAGTATTTTAATATTGTAGGTACAAATTTAACAATTCTAAATTTAGGCTTAAGTAAAATTGTGATGAGGGCTGTAGTTTCTTGTTTTTAAAATAATAGTGCATACTCAATTATTCATAGAAGCCTATGGAGATAAATGCTAACTTTACATAACAAAATAAAAAGGTTAAGAAACCTGACAATAACATTGTTAGTAAATGGACAAGCTGGGGCTTCATCCCAGATATTCCACTGTCAGGGTTTGCATTCTTTTCCACAATTGTGTTATACTTATTTCTAAATATATTTGTGAAAAATGCATACACATATCAGTTAAAGATGAATGTGCAACTATTTTAGTTGAAGAGTGAATGGATGCATAATCCTCCACTTCCTTTCTGTAGTTATACATAATCTAAATTGATAGCTATGATGGGAAGTGTTTTATTTGTAAACATTACTTTGGGTTAAGGCCATTTCTTGATAGTTGTTTGGCACTGGTGTTTAGATCAGTGCTTTCCAAAGTATGTCCTCCCACTTGCACTGCCAGGATTCTGGCTAGCAGATCATACTTCATTTTAACAGTTACAAATTTAGTTCAAGAAAGTGGCAACCAGGAGCTGAGAGTGTGGCTCCAGTGGTGGTAAAGGCCTGCTGCCTTGCAGGCAGGAGGCCTCAGCTCAAATCCTAGTGCTGGGATTAAGAAAATGCAATCTTGGTCTGCAGATTTGTGGAGAATTTTTGAAAGATTGAGAATTTGATTATGTAACATAAATAAAAGGTTTTAGAACTTAGGTTAGAGCAAAATTTATGTGGCTAATTGATTAATTCATTTTTAAAGCAGAGCTTTAATATTTATGTAAATAATGGTAGGTAAAGATCAGATTGGAGTAGATAATTATTTGTAAGAAAATATTTACTTTGTGGAAATGGAACCTAGTCCTGAACCTAGCCTAGAATCTAGTCTTGATTTGCCAAGCATGTGGATAAAGGCCAAACAGAAATAGTTATCTCTCTATTCCATAAATATTTGAGTCCCTACGCATCTCACTGTACTATAAGGGATAAAACTGTCATAGTACACGATGTCCACTACACATACAAGTGTACAAGGGGAAGGGATATAGAGTGTAGACAACCAAACAAGCATTTGCAGCACATTGTAGCCAGTCCTACAGTAGGCAGACATAAAACCTCTTTAATAGAAAAGTCTAGGATATCTTTGAGAATGAATGACATTATAATTAAAAATATAAAACCTTTGGGGGAAAAGATTGCAGGGAGTTAGGAATTGATGTGTGTTTAGGAATTGGCAATTCTGAATAGCATGAATTCAGGACATTTGTCAGTTCGGAAGAGAAAATAATGCCACAAGAAGAAGGTAAAGAATTGAACGCTTTTCTGCTACTTTACCCCTAGGTTGGCCTGATTATCAGACTAGAGATATTAGAGAAGGAATGAATGGGATCTGGGACATGCTTAGCGTTGGAGGGGTTGAAGAGGATTATTTATTCCTATAAAACGAGAGAGAAATGAGAAAGAATTTGCATTTAAGCTAGCACAATAGTCTAGGAGGTATGGCAGAAGATTGCAAGTTTGAAGGTAGCCTGGGCAAAGACCCTGCCTGATAAAAACCAACCAGCCATAGCCAGGTGCCAGTGGCTCATGACTTTAATCCTACCTACTCAGAAGGCTGAGATCTAAGGATCACAGTTTGAAGCCAGCTCAGGTAGGAAAGTCTGTGTAACTTATCTCTAGTTAACCACAAAAGAGCCAGAAGTGTAGCTCAAGTGGTACAATGCCAGCCTTGAGCAAAAGAAGCTCAAGGACAGTGCTTAGGCCCTAAGTTCAAGCCCTAGGACCAATACCAGAAAAACCCAAAGAACAAAAACCAGTCAAAGAAACAAAACCAAGCTGGGGCATAATTCAACTTTTAGAGTACTTGCCTCGCATGTGTAAGGCATATTATTTAAATACACACACACACACACACACATATATATATTTAGTTACAGGATATCTTCAGTGATAAAATCTTTATGGTGATGTAGTTCTTTGAGGGGTGTAGGGAAGTCATGTGAAGAGGAAGAAGAGAAGCTAAAAGCCTGAAGACATGGAGACTTACTTAGAAAAAGCTTTGGAGAAATTACTTAATGAGTAAAGAGAGAAAATTGAGAGTACAGTGTTCAAGAACAAGTGAAAGTTTCTTAGCATGAATTGGTACTGGGTACAGTATGTTGTGTAGTTCTTCCATTCAGCTATACTGTTCAGAAGTAGAATGAAGTAGTTTTTGTGAAGGATTAAGTTCATGTGGTTCTCACCTTTCTGAGTTCCATAAAAGAATGAAATATGATTTCATGCTCCTTTTCATTACTGTTTCATTACTCTCTTGTTTCATTTCAGTGATCTTTTTCTCTTCCTGCATGGTGAAGAGAGCTGCCCTTTACACCTCTGTTACCTATCATTTTCTTCCTTCCTCCATTTTTCACAGCATGCTATTTCTCTGAGATGTCCCAGCAAGCAGGCCAAGCATCATACTGACTTCACAGAAGAGCAGGCTGAGCTGACACCTGTAAGTTCTGTAAACTGTCATGCAAGTATTTAAAAGTAGATGAAGAAGAATGCACTGGTTAGACTCCAAATGATGAAACCTTGTCATATAGCCTCAATTTTCTGTAAGATTGAAACAAACCTAAAAGTAAATGAGCAAACCAAATAAATACACACAACAAACTTTATGATATGGTATCATTGATTATGGTACGCATAGAAGGTAGCCTACCTGATACAGTTTTTGTATTGAAATCTAAAACCACATGTTAAAAAAAATTAGAATGTTTTCTTTACAATGAAGTTTTCTAGTGAATGACTCCCCTGTACAAATGCTTGTCTGAAAACCCAAGTTTTATTTCCTCAAATACGAATTCTCTGGTCAGTGGTTGACAAATCTTGATACTTCAGTGCTTCACACTTCCCATATAGTTGCCACTATTAAGTACTTAAATGTGGCTAATCTAAATTGAAATGGGCTGAAAAGATAAAATAGACACTGAATTTCAAAGGCTTGTATGAATAAAGAATGTTTCATTATTACGGTTGAGACATTATTTGGGTATTTTAGGTTAAATAAAAGCTATGAGTACTTTAATATTTTCTTTTTATATGTGTGTGTGCGTGTACTCTTGTATGTGTACAGATATGAGTCCTGGAGCTTGGCCGCTGTCCCTGAGCTTTTATGCTCAAGGCTAGCACCCTATCAGTTGAGCCACAGCTCTACATTTGGCTTTTTTGGAGATAAGTGTCTCATGGACTTTCTTGCCAGGGCTGGTTTCAACTGTGATTCTCTGATCTCAGCCTCCTGAGTAGCTAGGATTACAGACATGAGCTACCAGTGGCCAGTGTGACAAGAGCAGAAGTTTTTTGTTGTTTTGTTTTTATCAGGTACAGGAAAAAGAACAGAAATACAAGTGGGTACTAAAATTAAGATGCGTTAGGATAATAGCAAATATGACATTTTTATATCATAAGAGAAAATGGGAAGTAACCTTAACTGAAGTAGGGATAATGTACTAAGACAATTTATAGGCAATGTAGGAATAGTGATAAAGTACAAAATTCTAACAAATGACATAGATTTTTTGGTTTAGTTTTTGTTGTTGACAGTCTTATTACTATGTGGCCCTAAGCTTGCCTCAAATTAAGTCTTCCTGTTAGCCTCCAGAATTTAGGCATTGTAGGAATGCATCTTATTTTTGAGATTAATTTTATTTATAATTACAGTGATAAAAATATATGAGATTAGATCATTATGAAATGATTTTGATATTTGATTGTGCTACAAATATTCTAAACAAAGCAAAGTAATAGAAATATTTTTAAACATTTGGTCCTAATGAAGCTCTGAAATTCCAGTACTTCATATTTTTATTAATATATTTAGTTTATAAATCTGTTCAAAGGAATTTTAAATCTCTCCCATTTGCTTCTATATAACAGGGCACAAATACAGTAGTGTCAGTTCTTCCTTCAAACTCAGTTTCCATTGCTGATTTCCTAACATTATGAGCAACTCTTCATGAATTTTGAACAAAAAAAGAAAGCCAGTGGCTCATGCCTATAATCCTAGCTATTCAGGAAGCTACGGTCTGAGGACCAGGTTCAAAGACAGCTCACGCAAGAACAGTATATGAGACACTTATCTCCAATTAACCAACAAAAAGCTAGAAATAGAGCTATGGCTCAAATGGTAGAGTGCCAGCATTGAGCAAAGAAAGCTAAAGAACAGCACCTAGGCCCTAAGTATAAGCCTTACTATAGGTACAAAATAACAATTAAAAAGAAAGCACAAGTTCTCTCAATCTGCTTTATAGGATAAAGGCACTCCTTAAAACAGTGAAAATTAAGCTGGACATTGGTAGCACCTGTAATCCTAGCTACTCAGGAGGCTGAGATCTGAGGATTACAGTTGGAAGTCAGCCCAGGCAGGAAAGTCCTTGAGACTATTTCCAGTAAACTACTCTGAAGAAGCCAGAAGTGGCGCTGTAGCTCATAGTGGTAGAGTGAGTGCTAGCTTTGCCTTGAGAAGGAAGAGGCTCATGAATAGCACTCAGGCTGAGTTCAAGCTCCAGGACTAGCCGAAAAAAGAAGTGAAAATTAAAAGTATAAAAATCATTGGTGTTTCTATGTAAAATAGAGTTAATTGTAATAAATAGGGTTGCCTATCTGTGTGTTTTTTCCATGTAAGGTCATTAAAATACCGTATGAATTGTGATGCTGATTTTTGTTATGTGACATAAGTTCCTTGTTTGTAGGGCATCTAGCATCTCTGATTTACTATAAATGCTTGTAATTCTTCCTTTCTTCTTTACTCTTAAAACCCCAAATGCCCTCACCATTTGCCTATTAAAAGACAACACTACCCTCTTTGAGAACCACTTGGTCTAATATTTGCTTTCTATTTCCCCAACCCTAACCCAGACTTGTAGCTACTTACTTATCCTTTAGAAATATAAGCCAGGACTTAATTCTGGCATAAGTCCTTATCTCCTTTGTGTTCCTATCCCACCACACAATGTATTGTACTTGCCACACACACACACAAACATACACACAAAAGAGCAATTACAGGTTTTCAGTTTAATTATCTAAGACCTTCATATAGGGCTTCACGGGGATTTTTGCCAGGGCCAGCATGGACTGCTATCCTCCTAGTAAGCTTTCTGCATAACTAGAATTACAGCAAACCATTTTGTTGAGATGGGGGTCTTAATAAACTTTCTACCTGATTAGTTCTTAAATGATCCTATCTGGCTACTCTGCCTTTTAAGTGGCTAGGATTACAGACATGCATTAGCATGACTGACCATCCCTATTCATTTTTTCTTATTTACACATAATGAGGAAAATATTCTTATATTGGTATTCGTATATTAGTTTATGTAAAACTGTATATTTCAGGATAAAATTCTTGAAAACATACTATTTATTTTACAAACTTACTAATTTTTTTTCCAGAAAAATAAAGATCCCTATTTCTGACTTGCATAACTGTACTCCTTTGTGCATCACCTTTACAGTAAATTTTTAAAAACCCCAAATGAATAGAATTTACAAGTAATTGCACTTCCAATTTTACAAGATAAAATCTGCCTCCCACCATCAAAACAAAAACTATGAGTTGAATGCTAGTGGCTCATGCCTGTAATCCTAACTATTGTGGAGGCTGAGATCTGAGCATCAAGGTTCAAAGATAGCTGGCCCAAGAGACTCACTGGTATTCCCACTGATACCACTCACAAATGCTCCCAAGACTCCTTGCTCTTCAGCAAGGAGGAGGGATTGGCTAGGAGAAGAATGCAAAGGTCTGAGTAGAGGACTGAGAAGGGAAGACTCGTTTGACACACCATCTACTGAGCTAGCTGTCAGCCTTGGCACCTGTTGATAGTTTACCAAAATACTTATAGCTACATATAAATAAGGTCTTATTTTCTTTTAGTCACCACTACAGTTGTTTGCTTTTCCATTTCCCTCTTTCTTTCATGTATTCAACTAGTTTGGAGGTCTGTTACCTCCTTCCTTTTTTTTTCTTTTTTCTTTTTCTTTATGTACATACTTCGCTCAGTTTACAAAAAAAAAGAGATAATTATAAAGAATCATTCTTCGTCTGCTTTATATTTATATTTTAAACACATGAAACCTCCACTGACTTCTGTTATTGCCTTTTTGTTTTTGTTTTTGTTTCTCTCTCTTTTCCTGTACAAGCACTCCTATCTGGACAGGGAAACCTCACTTCTTCTGAGAAACATTGCAGGAAAACCTTCTCATTTGCTGACCAAGGTGATACTACTGCTTTCCACGTGCATGTAACTATTTATTGCCTTTGAGATAGAATTTAATTTCTAGTTTTGATTGTGTTCTCAGATTATTGCTTTATGTCAGCTAATTTAGTGGGGTACTTTAGCTACCTGATCTTAATGTCTATTACATGGTATTGAGAATAAAAAATATTTTCAATAGTTTAATTTTTTAAAACTTTCATAAACTTATTTGACTTACATGTATATTGCACTTTTTCTAGTTCAATATTGCATTTGAAAGTCTAAAAAGTTGCTTGTATTTGAACTTTATTACTACTAATGGTTTCATGCTATGAGTTTCTTCAGCACACTTTACAATTATTGTTTACATTATCGCCTCCTGGTTTAATTAAAACACTTGTATAGGAAGACTATATTAGTCAATAATAATATTAGTCATATTGGAATAGAAGACTACAATTTTAATTTCTCAGTTCTCCATTCTCAAAGAGTGTTTAAATCATTCCAGCATAATGTTCATTGGGCTAGTATTTTACAACAACTTAAAAATCTTTTAGCAATTATCATTAACCAGGAAATGATGCAAGGAGGAAGCTGAATTGCTTTCTATCTGTTTTCAGGTCATTTCATGCTCTTTCTTTTCCTTTCTCTCTTTCTCTCTCTCTCTCTTTCTCTCTCTCTCTCTCCCCCTCTCCCTCTCTCCCCCTTCCCCCTCTTTCTCTCTCTTTTTCTCTTTCTCTTTTTCTTTCTTTTTCTTTTCTCTTTCTTTCTCTTTCTCTCTCTTTCTCTTTCTTTCTTTCTTCCCTTCTTTTCTTTCTTTCTTCCTTTTGTCCTTTCTTTTCTTTCTTTCTTTCTTTCTTTCCTTTCTTTTTCTGGCCCTGGGCCCCAATCTCAGGGCCTGAGCACTGTCCCTGAGCTTTTCTATGCTCAAGGCTAGCACTCTACCACTTAGGCTATAGCATCACTTTTTGTGAGTAGTTTATTGGAGAGAAGAGTCTCAAGGACTTTTCCTGCCCAGGCTGGCTTCAAACTGCAATCCTTAGATCTAGGATTACAGGCCTGAGCCACTGGCATAACACTTTTTATTATCTTATTTAAATAGTATAAAGTTAAAATTTAAAGTATCAGAATTGCTTTTGGTTTCTGAAGAATACATATAATAATTATATGTAAGTTACTGTATCTGAGGGTTTTTTTTAAATTTCTTCATAATACTGTAAAATATACATTGGCTCTCCCTGTCTGTCTATGCTCT